CTTTTCTTTACGATTCATCCCCATTCCCCGTCGCCTTTTCCCCCCCACCTTCTGTTTCTGCTCACCTTCATTCTTCCAGCCCCTTTTCCCCCCGTCTCCCTTCCCCCCCCCTCCTCCCTTCTCCATGCCTTTCCCCCTCCCCGCTTTCCCTTCGCACTCTCCCGCTTCCTCCTGCCAGTCTCTTTCTTCCTGTGCCCCTCCCACGCTCCCATCCGCCCACTCCTTCACCCGCATTGTTGTGTCGTTTCTCATGTTGGTGATTGGCAGGCCAGGCCTTCGCGAGCAGGGCACGACAGGCGATGCGGCGGCGCGCGCCTGCGCTGCCTGTCTGGCCAGAGGCGCCAGGGCGCCAGTGCCTCGAGCCTCGAGCCGCGCGTTCCCCCCCCGCCCCCGCCCTCTCGGGGACCGCGGGCGCCGCAGCGGCGCGAACATCTCCTCTCTGTGGGGTGTGGGGGTGGTCCCCGACGCGCGATTGCGGCGGACAAGCAAGCAGGCGCGCCAAGCATGTCCAGGGTGCGTTGGCAAGGCTGGGGGAGACGAGCCAGGCGTGGTCGCCGTCTGGGGAAGAGCGCCCCGCTCGGAAAAGTCCAGTGCGCTAGCATGGCCAGAAGGAGGGGAATAATGGAGACGGGGGGGGGTGTACGGTGGAGGCCCCATGCCAAGAAACGCCCTGCTCGCCTCCAGGGTGCCCTGGGTTTCCTGGGTTCCGATGGTTTTGCAGTGGAAAGCGGGTCGTTCCCACAACTGGCCTCCACTTCCACTGTAGAGGAGGAGGAGGAGGAGGAGGAGGAGGAGAGAGGAGGAGAGGAGGAGGAGGAGGAGGAGGAGGAGGAGGAGGGGAGGAGGAGGAGGGGAGGAGGAGGAGGAGGAGGAGGAGGAGGAGAGGGGAGGGGGGGACGCGACGGGGGGCAGGATCGGCCGCCGCGTCGGGCACCCCGCCCGCCTCGGGCCCAGAGCACCCCCTCGGATGCCGGGGCCGCGGCGCGGCGGCCCGCAGCCTCTCCCCGCGACGCCAGCCGCGCCTGCAGGCGCCAGGCCAGCGTGTGCCTGACGTGCGTCTGCGTCTGCGTGCGTTCGCGCACCCGCGCGCGCACGCTCGGGGTGCGCCCGCATCCGGGGAAGGAACCGTGCCGGAGGCATGAAAACTCAGAGGTCTCCGCGCGGACATTTCTCGTATCGGCGCTCGACCCCCCTCCCTGGCGCACGTAGCGCGCCAGGGGCGGCGCCGGAGGTGCCGCCAGGGGGCCCCGGCGCCGATCCAAGAAATCAAGGCGGACCTGCGAGTTTTTATGTTTATGTCATTGTTCGTTACCCTACGCATTGTTCGCCGCTGGCCCGTTCGCGCCTCCATGCGCCCAGGGCAGTCGTGCAATTTCCAGATGTTTTCTGCATGCAGCGGCCCGTTCGGTATGGCAGATCTCTCGGCTCAAGGGGCACATGCTTTGCTGTCGGAGAGGACCAGCTCGACGACAGCGCCACGCGCGGCAGCGCTTTTTACTCCGCCCTCACGAGGACCGCATGCTCGTGCATGCTCATGGTCGGTCCTCGACTGCGAGTCCATGCGCTTTGCTTACACATCATTGGAGGTATCCAGAGTTTTCAAGGGTGCCCCTGGATGCTCTTGGAGGCTTCCAGATGTCCCCTGGGGCCTCCAGAAGCTTGCAGAGGACCCAGCATGGCCAGACAATTGCATGGCCAAACAAAGGGCCAACCGTGGCCAACACCGACAGGACCTGAATCCTCGCGCCTCCTTTCTCCTCGACCATCGTCCCCGTGCGCATGTTTGGAGAGGAAGAATGCTGCCAAATAATTTCCAGATGTCTAAACCATGTTTCAAACATGCTTTAAATATGTAAAAGCATGTTCGAAACGTTTTTATGACATGTATTACACATTTCAAACACAAATTTAATCAAACGATCGGATTGTTCGAGTGCCGTTTGGCATGGCATCCACAACCCCAGTACCTCATCCCCATCGGCTGCTTCTTCGCCGTGATGCTCTACGGGTCGAACAAGGCGTACATGTACTGCAGGTGACGGCCCTCGCATATTCGCCCCGACGGCACGCTTCCGCTCCCCCCCCGCCGCCCCTTCCCTTCCCTCCTCCCTCCTGCCTTCTTCCCGTTCTCTCAGAGGAGGAAAAGGTACCCATACCTCTACCCTTCGGCCGTTTTCTCCTTTTTGGGCCTCCTGGGAGGCCCTCGTCGCCACCGCTGGATTCGCCTCGAAATTCTGGTCACAAAGCACCCCAGGAGAGGTCCGGGGAATAGCGGTATCGGTACCTTTTCGTTTCCCCATTCTCAGGTTGCATCTCTTGGTAGGTTGAATGAAGCAACGGCCGTTGTTTCATGTTTCAGTGCCGGCTGAGTCTGGCCGAATCCGACCTAATTTGGGTAAATTTGGTTAATTCGTCTTAGTTCAATCCGGCTCATTCTGTTTCAACTGCCCATGCATGTGTGTAGTTTGTTCTTACTCAATGAAGCCCACCGAAACCACCCAAGAGTTGCTAACGAACCTTTCTGCATCCGCCTCCTCACCACACATGACCTCGGGAGGCAGATCATATCATCATGCGGACTTCTCGTGTAATGCACTGTTGGCAGGATTAGGACCAGCTTACGTTTTCATGGTTGCTGGCTCGTTGCTTGTCAGTGCGACATCCTTCGCCAAGGCTGTGCACGTTTCGGGGGCGGGTGCTTGCGCTGTCTCCTTCCAGCAATTTCAACAACACGTCCTGGATATTCCTGGACCCGACACAGCGAAACTTTGGCGTGGCCACGCCTGGAATATCGAGCGTGCCAGCATCTCACTTCACCACCTAACTGCTTGGCCCGCCCCTACCTGCATCGGTCGCAGACGGGGCTCCCTTGGACGCCGTGAGGTCCTCGGCGGGCTCTGATGGCACCTGCGCTGCTCGATCCGCGCGAGCCTTCACTGCTGTCGGAGCATCTATACTCCCCTGGAAAAGTGGTGCAACTTTCGCGCGCTGTCCGTCTCCCCGCGCCCCCTAGTTAGTCTCAGTCTTCACGCAGGGGCGCCGCGCGATGGCCGTCGGCCGCGGCCCCTTCGACATTGGGATCGGGGGCCCAGGGGGTGGCAAGAAGCCCAGGAAAAGCTGCGCTTCCTCTGCCGGGGGGTGCAGCTCGTTCCTGCAAGGGCCGCGCCCTCACGGGCCGAGAAGCCGACGTCGCGGCTCCGGGGCGGAGGCCGGCGCGAGGCGGCCGACGCGCGGAGGCCCCACCGCTGCGACGCTGGGCTCGCCCATGCCATGCCTCGTCTGTGCCCCCTCCACTTGCTCGGGGCGGGCGACAGTCAGGGGCAACGTTGGGGAGGGACGGGCTCCAGAGAGGGGGCGCATCGGCCCCCGATCGTCCTTTCATCGCCGATGGGGGCTTGACAGCCCGCCCCGCCCTGGGCGGTGCGGAACCGCTATCGAGAGCCTGGGGCCGATCTATCGGCGAGGCATCGCCGATCCAGGCTCGATGCTTCCCCCTCTGAGCCGGTCCCCCCCTAAAGTTCCCACTCAGTGCCCCTCCCCCCCTCTTGGGGAGGACGATGGGGAGAGTACGAAAACTGCCGCGTGCAGCTGGTTTCGACCTCGCCGCCAGGCGCTCTTCTCGAGATGCATGGGCGCCTCCAGGCGCCGGGAGCCGCCGAGGGAACCGCGGAATCAAACAAGAGTCTGGTCAGCGCTCGGGTCGTTTGAGTCCATTCAGGTGATGCCTGGGAGGCCCGAGTACTGACGTGACTCATTGTGGCCTTGAGGCGGCAATTCCACGGCTGACTGGTCAGATCAGTGCTCGGGTTGCCTTGGTTGCACTCAAGCAACTCCCTTGGAGCCCATCGTTGTCCTGATTATTTATACATATATGTTTCTTATGCGTGAGCTGATTCGCTAAACTTTCCCCTTACCAGCCCCCGTCTGGTCTGGCCCTCCCTCTGCCTCCCTCCAGCCTCCCCCTAGCTCCCCCCTTCTTCCTTCCCCTGTCCCGCCCTCCGAACCGGCGCTTCCCGAATGGTGCTTCGCTGTGAGGGTTTAGGCGGTGGTCGAAGGTTTGTTCCTCCGCGTGGGGGTCACCCTGGTTCTGTCATGAGAACCTTTGGCGCTGCGAGGGTGGCTTTCGCTTTGGACGTCACTTGTTGCTCAATGGTCCAAGCTAAGGGAGTGTTTGAAGCGCGTTCCTTTGTTGATTCTGCCCTTCCAGGTCTTGAGCGCCCTATGCTTCCATGCAATTCTTGCTGTCTGCGTGAAGAGATCAGCTCATGGTCCAAGCGTG